AAACAATTAGTTCAATTGACGTCCACACCACCCACGTTCCAACAGTCAACCTCCTGTCCTGGCACAATTATTTTGGTGAGCCCACACCGAAGAGGATGATGAGGCACTGGACTCAAGTTTCGTTGTTATTAGAGCTCATTAGTAGTACATATCCTTGGCCGTGTCATGTGACATGCAAGAGGAGTGTGTTAGCATCACTCTACCAGCGCATGATGGACGCTCACCTCGCATGTCAGCTGCCCTTTCAAATCCCCCACGGTCAACTTTTACGAACAGCTGATTAGCTGTACTAAGAGCGAAACTCGAGTCCAGTGAGCCCTTGGCCCTGTTTGGTGTGAACTTACAAAAGTAATAATGCCAGAACAGGAGGTGGGCTGTTCAAACGAGTGATGTAGATGAGAATTCTACAAATCCCTCAACCACCTGCAAATATTTGGATCAATTACCATTCTATTTATGAATCAAGGAATCTGCACGCAGCTCGAGAAAGGCACAAATCAACATCTCATTGTCATACACCTTTTATGTCGACCGGAAAGTTCTGCTAATCATCGGAACATGTCCTGAAATTACTCATAGAAAAATGGTCATGCCCATCTAAAAGTGGACCAAGTGGTTAAAGGACGAATTTACTGACCGGAAGGTCCGTAGTTCGAACCCGACCTCTGCCTCTCAACTTCCCCTGTCTAGGCTTGGGTAACTTGGCAATATCCCAACTCTCGTGCCTCCTTCGTGTGGCATGGCAGCTAGGCACCGAAAGGGTGCTACATCTGAATGATTTATTATTTTTATTTAAAAGTCTATTCTTGAGGAAACACGGATGGAACGTTGACAGCAACAAATGCGTTTACTTTTGTAGCACCGAGAAATGGAGATCCGGTAGCCTAGGACCCACCGGTATATTTCTATCATTTCCGTGTTCAAAACCTTTCAGTCTCACTGTCATCCGAGTCTACTAGGACGCGATGTGAAACAGTCAAACAAGGAATTCCTTTTTTTTAAAAAAAAGCGAATCTTGGTTGATCTGAGTTGATCTTTGTACTCCATCCACGAGACCAGGTGTAAAGAGAATGGTATAGCGATGTTCATACTTCTACGTCCTAATAAGGTACACACTACCGCATGTCCACGGGACACCTGGGGTAAAACATATGCAGAAAATATGCAGAGGTTCAACAATTCAAACACTTGACGAGATTTTTTTCATGAGACGTTTCTCTCTTTTATCTCCCATTCTCCTGTAACCCTTTCACGTTCATCGATTGCATGTCTCTGACCATGCTCTTCAAAAATAAACAATTGTAGTAGCAGTCTGAATACTGACTGGTGTTTCTCATCAATTCCGGAAACGTTTGGAAACAATCGGTAGATTTATTGTTGGGCAATGTTTCGCTTTTGCCATACGTATAAGCGACCCACGATTCTAGTATTCCTGGATTTCCAAGGCGAATTCGACTCGGTTGGTCGGTCTGTTCTTCTTGAGACGCTTGCCCACCAAGGAATGCCC